GGTTGAATGAACACGAGCAATTTTGTATGAAATCAAATGCACAAAACATTATCGATCTTTGTTTTGACATATTCGGTGGAAAGAGACAGGAAAATAACTCGTAATAGATCTTTTCATTTTTAAAATTAACCATGCAGTTACACAAATATGTATGTAAGGTCAACGTTTGCTAAGTACTACTTCATTGCTAATGTGTGCATTGTTTGAAGCATGTTCCTATGTCGTGCTGTTCATCATTTGGAGATTATTGCTTAGCTGAATTTAAAACGGTGATGAATAAAAAATCAATGTCATGAAATGAAGTATACTCTAAATCCATTTAAGTAAAAAAAAAAAATATAAGCACTGTCATGTAAAGATAATCAAGATACCAAATATACTGGGTCACAACGTTTTGTCGTGATGTGACGCACCTTTGCAACATATAGCAGCATCGCTCATCTCAGCCTGTCTATAAAACCGGATGGTTTTTGGGGTCTGGGAGTGGTACAGGAATAGGAAACGCATGACTGTACCGACCTTCCTCTCCGCACCCGCCGGGTGTTCGCAGGTGACGCCATCACTTTCGACGCCGTCTAAAAAGAGAGTCTGAGTCCTAAACTCTGACTCCATGTTCATACCAGAGCTAGCAGACTGTCTACCGGATCAGATCCGGTCCGGTTGTGGAGCATGGGAACTGATCTCCGACATGTGCGAGTTACAACAGAGAGTTTCCGCGGTACCGTGGTCTCCCATACAGGATATGTCTCAACCCCAGCTGCACGGGAGATGATCAGACCGATATCCCTCGTTGCGCCCTCACTCTGTGGAGCCTGAGTGCTCAACTAGGCGTGAGGTGTTCATGCGAGAGGGGAAGGAGGCCGTCCTTGTGCTTACGGCGGGACCCTGCAGTGACCCATTACAAATCCTGGTGGACAATGGCAAGGGCACAAGAGTAGACATTATCAGTGACTTACGGAGAGCTTGCTACACTGAACGCATTCAGCGTAAAGCATGTCATTCAAAATTGCGTCCCAGTTTCTACGGCACGCAACATCGAAGTCTGCGAAGCACGGGACTTTGAACACGTTTAGCCAGCGCCCCGTAGGGGAAGGGCGAAACGGCCCCCCGACCTTTTCCGTAAATATCTCTTAAGCCACTGCAAATATCGTCACCAAACTTTCAGGACCCCTTCAAACATCAAGTTTACACATTCTAACCATAACATTTTTCAAAAGCCTATGATAGGTTGGACACAGATGACGTCAGAATGACGTCATGTTCTGCCATTTTCGACAAAAAAGGTATCGCGGGAAGGGCTGACAGGCTTATAGCTTTGAAGATACAGAAAAAATGCTCAGACATAAAAGGTGTAGAATTTACAGGGCTATAGAAATACTATCTCAGATCGTCGATCTTTTTGATTTTCAACCCCCAAAAATAAAACATATTTTTTATTGAATATAATAGCCAAACAATCCCAAAAGTTTTTCGAATTTAAAAAGAAATATGTAAGAAAGTCCCAACCGCTTTCTATCTACAATCAGATTGGATACTGATACCCCTTTTTGCAAAGTTTTAGCAAAAAAAAAAACCTGTCCAAAATTGAAGACGTCAAATTTTCCCTCAATTTTTGGCAATTCTAGAGCATGTAGCGCAAAACAAAGACTACAATTAGACTCCCTATGACGAGCTGCATCGAATCCATACCCGTTTTGAGCAAAAATATCAACTTTGAAATTTGACCTAATTTGACCTGACCTTGACCTGACCTTCACCAGAACATAATCTTAACTGGCCCCAAAGGTCGCCTGACCCACATAATTGCATTTGTCATAGATGGACTATGAAACATGTATCACACGACACTTCAATGTTGTGACCCTCAGTGACCTGACCTCGGTGACCTGACCTAGTATCAGTTACCTCAGATACCAAAATATGTGTTTGAGAACAATACTCCATCGACGGTTTTCAATAACATGCCTTTTGCTCGACTTTTACAACACATTTCTTGAAATGCCTGTAAACGGTGAAAATGCGACATTTGACCTGACCTGTGATGACATCAGTTGGACCGAGGTCAATGAGATTCAGTCACAAGGTAGTTCCCCGGAGGGGCTATCGAACGTCATTTGAATTTTGAAAATCGGCCGGTAACGTTGCGAGATCTTAGGGGGGGGGGGGGGGCGAAGCGGCCCCGCTACGGGTGGTAGGGTCTGTCGATAGCCCTGCGGGGCGCGGGTTAAAGATTGTCTGAGCATTTAATTCAAAAGTAGATAGATGTGTATGCCTAGCTGAGGAAATATTCCCTGCAAATGTTCCGCATCAATATCGTCAACATTCCTCACCATGATGTAATCTTTTAACAACCTTAAAAAATATTTTCTTAACGAATGTTGCAATAATCCCATGCGTGGATAAATCAACTATGCGGAAGAAAATAAATGAAACTGTGCCCCCCGGTCGTTTCCTAACACCCGGAACGCTAGGTTACTGGATAGGGCACTGCCCCAGCATCTGTTCTGGCCGCCAACCCCCGATACAATCTTTTCCGACTGACCACTGGAGTTCGAACCTGGTTCGAACGGCTGCAGTTCGGCCTCTGTTGCAATGCTCTCTCTAGGTTGCAGACCAGAGGCTTCCTCCCAATGTTCTGTGCAATTATTCCGAGTGCAGCGGCGATCAGAAATGGCACAGAGAACGTGGGAATGAACGGAAACGGTGCGTGACTCCCAGCGCCGATCGGACGCACCAGGAAAAATTCCCAGGGTGAAATTTCGCAGAATGATGTCAGGGTCATTGGACAATGTAGTTGACCGTCGCACGGAACTTATCCCTAATCTGGCGAGGTCCACGGACCACGGTCGGACACGCGGCCGGCGGCACTGAGAGGATTAGCCTATTAGTGACGGGCTCATGGATGACCCATCAATGCCAGCTGGGGAGGGGGGGGGGGGCAGTACGCCGCGGGTTTCCTAGATCTCGAGATCAACTGTTACCCGCTGATTTTCGAAGTTGAAGCACCAACCAATAATCTGTCTGTCTTTCTGTCTGTCTGTCTGTCTTGTCTTGTCTGTCTGTTTGTCTATCTGTCTGTCTGTCTGTCTGTCTGTCTGTCTGTCTGTCTGTCTGTCTGTCTGTCTGTCTCTCTCGCTCTCTCCCTATCTCTCTCTCTCCCTCTCTCTCTCTCTCTCTCTCTCTCTCTCTCTCTCTCTCTTTCTGCCTTTCTCTTTCTCTCGATGTTGAAGGTGACAGTTAAGAGGGAACACCCTAATTTTGAATGGCGTTGTATCATCAATGCTGCCATATTTATAAGATCGGTCAAATGCAGAAAATGCCATTTCATAAATAAACCATTTAGCCTATGAACGTTGTAGAAGTTTTGAAATACATGAATGGTCTTAAATACAAAATAGGTACCCTAAGAAAGAGAAAACATGGTAAGCTGCAGGTTAAATTGTCAAAAATAGAAACATTTGTTGTAATCAATTATATCACACATAAGCAGCATCATTTTTCAAAATTGTCGTTGTTATTAGGTCCTCCGATCCTCTACTATGGCGCGGGCCGCCACAGTGGTTCTCCAGCAAACCGTTAGCTAAAGCCCCGTCGGCCGTGGGGCTGGGGCGAGGAACTAGAGGATTGGAACTAGGAACGGGCTGGAAGGAGGGATGATCGGCAGACCGCGATGAAGAACTGTCATCTGCTGGAATGGTGAACTGGTGGCCTGGTTCAGGCCGTCCCACACTCATGGAACTCGCATGCGGGTTGCGAGTTTGCGGGATTTAACTTTGCGGGCATAATACTAATTCATAGAGTGATTAGACCGTTCCCTTATGGTAACTTCATGAATGCAGTGAAGCCGGTACACCTTCAGAAAATTACATATAGCCGCAATACCAGCGCAACGAACCAAAATTCGACTCCAACGAAAACCCGCAAACCTCGCAGAACTCGCAGACCTCGCAGCGATGAACATTTAAAGTTGACTCAAAATCAACTTTGGGAATGCGATGCAAGGTGGCTTACAAGCTAAAAACATGCAGACTCGCTTATTAGATGGTAGTGTGGGTCACTCAGCTTAAATTGTATTATTTGATTTTGAAGAAACCCGAAAACCCAAAAACTCGCAACCCGCATGCGAGGCCCAGTGTGGGGCGGCCTTTAACCGGTGATTCGGGGGAGGGATGTGCTCAGGGACAGGGCTTGACCGTCAATCGAAGGCTAGGTCTTGCATGGGACAGATGGCGCATGAATAAACATTGATAAATCATGTCAAGAATCGCTATTCCGCTGTCATAACAAGAGTTTTAGATGAATTACAAGCTCAGCCTGCTTGGATAACCAAACAGAAGATGATGGATGGATGGGAAACGTAGACGTAGAAGTCTAAGTTTTAGCGTGGAAACAATACGGTAATGTAACAAAAACTTCTTTCTTTGTCCGTTACACTTTTCAAAATGTAACACGACCACTCCAATGCTCTACGACATTGCAGCGTAATTCGGAAACGGATGAATAGATGATGAATAGAGGTGACAAATAGAGTATTAGAAAATAACTAGTTGATTTTAGCGAAATTACATAGATATCCGATTTCCGATTAGATTTATATATCCGAAACGAATATACCTGTATGCATTTTGAACATACGACAGTCGTCACGGAGGCAATATAGGGTCAAAATGACCTATCGGTCTGTATTATTATGGAGAATACCCCAGTCAGGCGCTCGTCAAAACTGCCATGCTAAGGAGGGAATAGGCACCGATCTTTCTGCATCTGTAAAGTGTATACTATACAGATGCAGATGTAGATGCTATATATCTACATAATGCATATTGATATGCCAAAAAGGATCTTAGCACATTCTAAATGGCCGGTTATCACTGTGTGCTATGTCCTATCTTTGTCCCTCCGTACCTCTCTGTCGCCTCTACAGCGCCCTATCAGTCGGGCCCAGTCCAGTTACGACACACTAGGATTTTCCTGCAGAAATATCTGCAGCCGCGCCACGCCGTGAAGTATAAAGGCGCACCGCGGCCGGCGGTTAGCAGTCATTCAGCATTCAAACTCGTCCGGAGTTACCACCTCAGCTCAACATGAACTTCCAGCTTGTGGTAAGGGTGATCACGAACGAATAGTGAAATGTGCTGTGTTTTGAATATATTTATATAATAACACATAAACATAGAAGTTTCACGATACAAACGCTTTATTCACAGGAATGAGAATCGAGTACCAACTAACCAAACAAAAGTTACCACTCATACTGATCCCACTTTATCTGCTTCAGGTTGTCCTCGTCGCTGCCCTGGTGGCCGTTGTCTCGGCTGCCGGAGGGTTCAGGCCAATCAGCTACGGTGGTGGACAGTTCAACAGGGGTGGATTCAGCAACGTTGGACGCCTGAACAGCGGCTTCGGCGGCGGCGTCAGCAACTTCGGCAGGGGCTACGGCAGGGGCGGCAACAGGTTCATCGGCGGCGGACAGCGGTTCAACAGCGGCTTCAACAAGTTCAACTCTGGCTTCAACTCTGGCTTCAACTCCGGCTACGGCGGAGGTCGTCTGCACGGCTCTGGCATTGGCGGCGGCTCCTTCAACCGGTTCCGCAGTGGCGGCGGCTACTTCTAGACGGGACGAAAGCTGTGGGGACAAATTTGATTTTACTGGTCTGGGTCTTGGTTAGACAGACGGACTGAATGCAACTCTACATGATCTGATCGTGTCAATTTTACCATTGGAAACAAACCAGCTTTATAAACATGCATCTGAAGCATTCTTTAAATGGATTTACATCGAATAAGTTATTCTATACAAAGTGGCATAGGCTGACTAATGGGACACGCTTGCTGTCGGAACTGCTACAAGTGCTAAATGTGGATGTAATTGCAGATAGTCACAAACAGTTCATATTTGTGATCAAAGTATGTGGACAGTGCGCTTTTTATAAATAAACAATAAACTGACGCATTGTGTCGCACGCACCGTCATTGATGAAGTATACTTTCAACTACTACAACTGCTACCCACTACTACTTGCCCGCAGGCTGTTTGAAAATTGACAAACACCGTTCGTTAGAATTGTGTTTTTCTATTGAAAAACAACCGCGGAGCAGTTCGCATAAATTTCTATTTATACATAAGACCTAACTTATTGTCACCTATCATGGTGTGTCAAGAAAACAATTGAATGCGTTATCTAGGCAGTAACTATATCAGACTGCTTCGAAAGTGTACGAAAAGGTGACTGGGGCGGCGTAAGGGCTTTGTTGATGGGGTGCAACACTTTTTTGGAGGGCCGGCTGCACCTCAAAGAATAAAAGCTACAGCGCCGCAGAACAGGGAAGTCCTTTGAAGTTCTTTCGCTAATGTGTTATCATATTTGATCTACGGTCAACAGCTTTGCCTCTGGATGTCGAACACCGACAAAATGGATGTTTTTAGCGTTTTTTGTGATTTCTTTTTAGTAATGACTAGTGGCATTTAGCTTGTACTTCATTGATTTTAACAACATCGTGCTCTTCCCTACTAGGCCTTACGTGATCAATATTTTGATGGCACCAAAACTACTTTAAAAATGCCAAACTGGGTGCTAAATTCGAAACCAGCTTCACAAATTACCCTACCAAAGCGTAAGACTAACAAACGTGAATCAAAGTCATTTAACCCGCGCCCCACTGGGGGGGGGGGGCTATTCATAGCCCCCCTCCCGTTTTTCTGCAATAACTTCCAAACCGCCTGACGTATCGACGCCAAACTTTCAGTACCTTTGGCTACATCATTTTGACACCTTGTGTCAAAATATGAACATCGTAGCTATCATAGGTCGGCCGGAAATGACGTCAGAGTGACATCATGTTCGGCCGATTTCGACGCAAAACATTGAACCACGGCAATCGCTCCCAAGAGCGCAGTTTTAAAGCTAGATCCAATTTCTTTGCATGAAAAGACTCAGAATAGACTGCGCTATCAAACTGCCATCTCGGATTTTCAAAATTTGGAAGATATCGAATTTTTTTTATAATAAAATTTATATTTTTATATTTTTTTCAAAACGTTTTTGACTTTTCCAAAAAAAAAACGGAAGATATGTGATCGAACGCATGCTTATGACCAACTCTAGCAAGTTTTAGCTAAATATCTTCAAAAATGGCCAAGGTATACGCATTATTGCAAAAAATTAACAATAATTAGTTTTTTTCAAATCACTTTTTCATTTGACATCGTACACCAATAAAAATAGCACCATCGTGTTCCTGAGGTCAAATTGCATCCGATAGACACCTTTTTGTTGAAAAATTTTAACTTCAAAATTTGACCTTTTTTGATCTGAAAATGACCTGACCTAAGCAAAATTCGACTCAAAACGACCTCGAATGACACAGACGACATCAAATTCGAAATCTATGGCCTAAATGGACCATAAAACATGTGTCACGTGACCGACGCATGATATCATATTTCCGTGACCTGTGATGACCTGACCCTGACCTGAAAATCAAAATACAAGTTTAATACCCTCAGGGTATCTAGAGCATCTATTCACGAGCGTGTAAACCAAAAATCAGCCTGATTTGACTTGCAAGACGGCCGCTAGAGCCCAAAATGTGAACAAGCCGAAATGCTAATAATTTTTACTTTGACCTGACCTGTGACGTCATCGGTGATCTCGAGGTCAATGAAATTAGGTTTCGTTCGACAGTTTTTCCGGGGCTATCAGACGCCGTTTGAATTTTGACGATCGGCCTAGTAGTTTCGGAGTTAGGAGGGGGGGGGGGCTATGAAGAGCCCCCCCCCCCCAGTAGGGCGTGTTATACGCAGACCCCAGTGGGGCGCGGGTTCAATCACCTTGTCCTGACCTTCACGTGACCTGTACACCTACCATAAATGCATGGGATAAACATCATGTTGGAACGTTTATGTCCGCAAAAAAGATTGGAAACGCGCGGATGATGTGCGCTGACATACTTACGCCGAATCACTATCACGGCCTACCATAACCAAGGGAGCCCTTTCGACCCCCTTGTAAGTGCGTGGTTAAACATTATAGAGTTTATCTCTTTTATTCTGATATCGCGTCAGAATACACCCGTTATCGTGAGAATTTGGCTTTTTCACAAATGTGAAGTGTGAAGTACCAGTCTAGAAGTAGCTACCGCCACTGCGGAACCGGTTGAAGGAGCCGCCGCCAATGCCAGAGCCGTGCAGACGACCTCCGCCGTAGCCGGAGTTGAGGCCAGAGTTGAAGCCAGAATTGAACTTGTTGAAGCCGCTGTTGAACCGCTGTCCGCCGCCGATGAACCTGTTGCCGCCCTTGCCGAAGCCGCTGTTGAAGCCGCTGTTGAAGCGTCCGAAGTTGTTGAAGCGTCCGCCCTTGTTGAACCGTCCGCCACTGAATTGGCTGCCCTGAACCCGCCGTCAGCCGAGGCGATGGCCACGAGGGCGGTGATGAGGACAACCTGAAACAGAAAGTCACATGGTGAGACTGAGTATATCAATCTTTTCCGAAGACTTTTTCACAAACAACTGCTCCAATGAAGAGAATGCCATAGCCAAATGTAATCGTTTCAGAAGGTTTATACATATCAACAAGGTACAGGAGAGGGTATGCATGTATCTTATTCACTGTTTCTTTGTTGTAGCCCTCACCACAATGCTGAAGTTCATGTTGAGCTTTGGTAGTTACTCCTTCAAGCGAGTTTGAATGCTGACTGCTGGCTATCAGCCGATGTGGGCCTTTATACTCCAAGGCACGGGATCTGTGCAGCAAAACTAACCGTGTTGTAACTCGTACTTGGCCCTGACCTTTACTGCACACGAATGTGTGCTAGTGAAGGTCCACTACGCCGGTGTGATGTTATCTAAAGGTGACTTTTGTTTCCTGACAGTGGTCATCTGAGGTGTGCGTGGCTCTGCGAAAAAGTGTAGTAACATTGTATAATTTGAGCATAGAAAGTCAATTTTAAAATCTAACTAGGATCATGTATGTATATTGCGTGACAGGAAAAAGCCATGCTGCATGTTAACTAGTCGACACGTGTCCCTCAGTCTATAACATTTAACCCGCGCCGTGCGGGGGGGGGGGGTGTTTGAACACCCCCCTGCGGTTTTTCGCAGATATCTCTCAAAAACGGCGGCGCCTGTTCTTGCATTTTTTTCCGCACATGTTGTGAAAATTTCAGACCCAGGTCATCTTGGTCAGGTCATCAGGTCGCGCCAAGTGACCTCACCTCAGAAAAAATAAGAATGTTCGTCATAGCTACACCGACTGATCGATTGCCTTGAAACTTTCAGCGATTGATAAGAGCAGCATTATCTATAAAATGTATTTCTCGGAATTTTGATGTCGGTGACCTAAGGCCAGGCCAATTTTGCGGCCTCTCCATTATAAGTAAATGGGAGAAAATTGAAAAGCGTCTGTTTCGCACGGACGCTATTCTACACACTCTCAAACATCGAGATGTAGGTAAAATTGACACACTGAACCGGAAAATGGCAACTGTGACCCCTCGTCATGTCCCCGAGGTCATCTCAGGTCACGAACAGAATCTAACAGTTTTCGCCTGAAAAAGTACGGTAACGATACCTAATTTTGGGTTTTTAGTCGGCGGATCCGTCCCCCCTGTCGAAAATCTGTGGCGACGCCCCTGGCACGTAGGACAAAAGAACGTATCGCAAATGTTCGCACAGCATAAAGTACGCATGGACAAAACTACGTAAGGACAAAAGTACGCATGGCAAAAGTACGTACAGTATAAAGCACGAATGGAGACAAGTACGTCAAGGACAAAAGCACATATCGTAAAAGTGCGGACAGCAGTTTTTCCGGGGCTATCAGACGCCGTTTGAATTTTGACGATCAGCCCAGTAGTTTCGAGTTAGGAGGGGGGCTGGGGGGGCTATTCATAGCCCCCCCCTGCAGTGGGGCGTGTTATACACAGACCCCAGTGGGGCGCGGGTTATTTTTTTTTTCGCAAGAATGTGTAGAGTACTTCGTAAGCCCATAAGTAGCTCCATCTGCATTCTGCATATGCCTAAAAGGGTCAAATGATATTTTCATTGTACAGCCCTCTGCACACTGCGTGGTAGATATTCTTTTTTCGACAAAACCGATAATAACCCAAAGGCTATGTTATCAGTCGATCGGAACTAATTGCACATAGATGCGCCATGCTCCACTCCTTCGGTTGGGTGTATCACTGAGCAAAGTTTACGCCGTGTGGCAGCAAAATGCAATAGTTTGTTTTGGTGACAAATATGAACTTTTGTGTTTTGTTGCCAAACTGGATGGAAAACATATACCATGATAAGCCCAGTCTAAGGTGCGGTGTCTCGCGCGTCTTGATGTTACGATTTCCGAGTGACAGATAGTATTCAAATTATTATCGGTTTTGTCGAAAAAAAGAATACCTACCGCGCAGTGTGTAGAGGGCTGTACACGTTACCAGCGGCAAGTATACGACCTACACTTCCACGCTCTTGTCTCAGTCTAACGGTCAGTTACGACACCATGAATTTGCTATTGGGATATTTTTATGGGGGGAGGAGGGGAATAACTTGTATCTACCTATACATCGTGCGAGTCAGACTCTGCATACCTTTATGTAACCAATTTAGCATTCATATCTGCACATGCCGGAAAGGGTCATATGGTGTATCCATTGTTCGTTTCTGCAAATTGGACGCTGTCATCGGCACGGAGTTTAGGCCAGGGTCAGTTACAAGTTACAGCACCGATAATGCAACTGCAAGCCTCCCTACACAGCTGTAGCGTGAAGTGGCGTATAAAGACACGGACTGATTTACAGTCGGCATCCAGTCAGCATTCAAACTCGTCTGAAGAAGCAACAAACTGAACTCAACATGAACTTCAGCTTTGTGGTAAGTGCTACCACAAGGAGCCAATCAATTGTATGAAGCCTGTTATAGATATTTGTTCATGTGTGTCGGGATCATTTTTGAAACA